CACTGTTTAACAGTTTTGTGAAATGAAGAATGTTAAGAGGACGCGTCAGTGAACGATATCAACATATGTTACAAGAGGTAGCAATGAGGAATTTAAATTTTTAAAACAATGAATGGAAAGAAACTCGGAAACGATTGGACAAATTTAACATAACCTCGGAAGAAAGAAAACGAAATTCTTCGTAGAACAACAAACCAATGTATCGGTTAGTGATGACTTGATAGCTCCAGACAGTGCGGTGAAGAAGAATGTAATCAATTTATATTCTCTTTTTTCACTTGTATTGGCCTTTTAATTTTTACTTGTTTGTTATTTTGTTTTAATTCTTTTATTGTTCAAGTACTTTTTTGCTTGATTAATTATGTATTTATATAAAAGATAAAAATAAAAACTTTAAATGACATCTCTTATCGCATGTGTATCTTAGTAGTGCAAAAAACTTAATTGCTAACAGTACAAAAAGCTTCGCGATACACACTAATTACATAGACTGAATACATTCCAAGTACTTTCCAATGCTTTGAACCTTGGAGATAGAGGAATTCTGTGCATAAGTGCTGCCCATAATGGCAGATATAGCTTGTTGTTCATGATGGCAGATATAGCTTGTTCTCAATTGCATGCATTATTGATAGAAATAAAACTCACTGCATCGGGCACGGTTCTCACGTTATTCACTACTTGCATACCATTTCCAAAAATTTTCTCTATGTATTTCTGAAAATGTTACAAGAATAAAACTGTATTTGATTCATATTTGAAATTGTATTGATTGTTCAAGGTAATAAAACTTGATTACTTTTTTTCAAAATTTTTCAGCGTAATGCATTTTCAGCTGTGTCTAGAAATTAGTACTGTAATGAGAAATTCATGAAATACGTTTGGAAATGGGACTCATTCACAATATACGAAGCTGAGACAAGTTTTTCTGAGCTTGAAGAAAAGTGCTTGATAATCGAACAGTAGCACTGCGTGAGACAGCACGTAAATAGTTCGAAAGTCACGTCTCGTTAAACATTTGGAAAAAGTATTAGATATTATTGAGGAATAGTTTGCAGCAGAGTATTCTAAATAGTCTGTTTATGACCTGCTTTACAATACTTTTTTCGCTTGTTAATTGAAAAATGCAAGTTGTCATGTTAGCTGCCGAAAGTTCGAACAATGTTGCATATTTATAAAATTTTTTATAAACTTTCGACAAAAATTGAAATCAGATCAAAGAATGTGTTAGCTTCAAACTGTGTGTGCTATATGCTTGATTTTCGGGACTGTTTCAGCACTGATGAGTTCTTGAACAAACAGACTACTTCAAACGAGAAAATGTCTTCATTAGTGCTTGCATTCACTAAAACTTCCCTTACCGTACTAACAGTATAAATCATTCAAGTCTTTTCTTATACTGTCTTATTATAAGACAACTTAACTTATGTTGAAAATAGTATAAATTCTGTTGTTAATACGATCAATTCTTATCGTTTGATTGTAAAATGAGCCTAATATTTTGAATATTAAAATAACTGTTATGAATTGTAATACTTGAAAAATTAATTCTGAAAAATAAAGTATGGATCTTTGACATGCAGTTTGTCAGATTGTTTTATATGTGTGTCATTAGAATGAAACGGTATTTTATTGTCAGAATAATCTTTCTGATCCAGATGATTTCAGAGCATTTCTATTTGCTGAATTCAAATTCAAAATTCAAGTGAAAAGCATGATACTTTTTAACGCGTTAATTGATGGCATATACAAGTTGAAATTTTTACATTCTTATTTATTTAACGTATGAAGGGCTACTGAAATTTATTCCTCAGTGTTGTCCCATTCCATCTTCAATTCCAAAACTGTTTTTTGCGCTTGCTCATTTCTTTCATTTTTACATCTTTCTGATCTCGATCCTGATCTTGTCTCATGTCAAAATGCAAATAGATATTGCTAATCACTAATTTGGGGCAATAAATTTAGGAATTAAAAAGGAAAAAAGTAAAATCTGAGATATTTCACTTTAAATTTATATTTAAACAAAGCTTACGTAATCAGCACTTTATTGTCTGAAGAAAATATAACAGTTTATATAATATGAACATTTTATCACTTTAGTAGAACTTTTCACTTAGATTTATTAGAAATATCATTTTATCAATTCAATTAAAATCGATTAATATCACTAATTTGTATACTGTCATTAAGTTCACTTTTGTCTTCATATTATGCAAGCGTGAAGTAGCAATATTTTGGTGATAAATAAACTTAAATTTATTTAAAGAAAATTCATTACATGTCATCATTCTGTGGTGATATTCCGATTTAGTCCTTTTGCGGGGACACGTAACTGAGCTTGTCGCCGTACACAATACAAATGAACACTAGTTCCCTTGATCATATTCATTTCGGTGTTATTTCGCTTGCAAATTTTCTTAAATGTATCAAAAACAGCTGTGCGAACATCAGCTTGACATAAGATGAATACAAAGCATAAGTTGAATGCATTTAGATAGCATAGGAATATAGCAAAATCGGATATTGTACTGAAGCTGTGAAATTCTGTTAGACTTGTTATCGCTTCAACAGTCGATGGCAGCACAAACAGAACTGAAATTTTTAGGTCAAGTTTGTATGGATGTTCAGAATATTTTATATTAAAAAGCAATAAATATGGTTCATACATTGCAAAATTATTTGGCATAAAATTATTTTTTCTTTCTTCATCATAAATTATTTTCTTGAGAGTGAAAAAGATTTTTGTCAAAATCTTGTCTAATATTCAGTTCATACCAAGCTTTATTAAGTTACTGAGAAATGAAGTAGCACTTATGGTCAGAAATACTGAAAGTATACAATTAAGTAAACTTTTTGCAAGTAATTAAAGTTTTTTTCACCTGTCCAAAGATTCCTACTTAAACTATGAGTCACTGCAAAAGTTATATGATTTTATATCATTTGCATTCAGTAAAAATATCAAATTCATAAATCCGATAGTTTTAAATGTCGTGCATTATTTTTAACGTAGTCATTATTCTAAGATTAACAAATACAGTGAGTGTGGTGTGTATACTGTCTATATTGAACTGTTCATTGGGTGAAAATCATTATCATTATCAAAATTACTTCCATACTTACAAAATGTAATTATACACGAAATGACAGAAGTTGATGTGTATTGTTTCTGTTTTTCAATAAATATCTCCATATTTCGCTGAACATTTCGACGTTCTGTAAGCTTCTGTGTATATCTGAAAATCAGTAATAAATTTTATTTTGTTGATGCATTTAGCATTAAACTTTCATAGCAATAAACAATTTTCAATTCATAGAAAAGTAATATCTCACTTTTTTGTTATAATTAATTTTGCATGATCATCAACTAACTACGCACTCACAATCAATCAGGCATTAATTTACGAATTAAATACGTCAAAAGGAGTATCATTTTACAATAATGTCTTAGATACCTTTTCATTATTATAACAACGGCAGCCATAATGATTAAACTTGCTGCAGCAGAAAGTGATCGAGTTAATAAAATTATTACGTATACTCCTCGTTGAAAAATTTCATGCTTTCTGAAACTTTACGATTAGTTTACAAACAGATTTACTATTACCAGTACTATCATAGTTGTTGAGTAAACTACCTTGTTAACTTGTTGTAATAACTATTGATATTATTAAATGCATAAAACTACTAAATATCACTAGAAGAAAATTTTTAAATCAATATTCGTCTTCTAAGTTTACTGTACAGCATATTTTAACTATATTTTAAGCTTTACATAATTGTCACGTAACTGTTGAATTTTTTTTTTTATTTTCAATTATTGAATATCAAACTGATACATTTCTGTGTATAATAAGTGTACCCACAAGCAGATATCATGGACATGGCGGTCAGGTTGTTGAAATGTTATATTAATAGCAGTTATAAGAGGTGATAACGATATAATGTATTCAAGAAGTATTAATTTGCGCAAAATGCTATTCTTCTTGCGATAATAATAAAGTGGAAATGCCGCCGCAATTAATCTTTCTATGCCTCCCACCATTAAGCCAACTCCATCCAAAGTATTTAGGAAAATCAAAACTATCACTATCTCCAAAAAATATCAGAATATACATGAAAAGTCAAGTTGACTTTGTACATCTATTTAAATGCAAAACATTGAAAAAATTTATTCAAAAGTTTTGATAAATTGCTTGAACAATAATTTTTATTTTTAAAGTAAATTTCAGATTTTGTTGCTCAATTATACAGATGATACAATTTCGATGCAACAAGCAATTATATCAAAATTATTATAGATCATTCTTAGAGTACAGTTTTGGTTATTTCATTTCATCAGTAAATATAATTTTTGCTAAGTCACTTATTACTCTCTTGAAAACAAATTTCATATCTTTATTTTACTGCAGACCAACAAATTACCAGTTTGTTTTCTGTTAACTTAATTATTGCCTTCAGTAATAATTTTTACTTTTAAATCTTAATTTAAAACTGCAAAGATATTAATCCAACAAGTGAAATTTTAAACATATGATATTACGCTTTCACTGCACTACTGAAAATTTTTCATGAAATAGCGATTTAGACTTTTTAAAAAGCATTATAATGGTTGATGGCGTATATTCGAAAAATGAGCAAAAATTTAAACGCACATCATAAAGACAGTGTTTATTCGATGAATGTACTGCATCAGTTTTTGTATAGAAATGAAAAAGTTTTAGTCTATAAATTATAGACACAAAACCAGTGAGGCCATTATGCAAGAATATCATTGTTAAAATCAGATAGTTTTTCCTGAAAATCAGTTCCAACAATCAAAAATCTATTGCTTTTATTAGGGATAAAATAGCTTTTATCAGTCAAGTGAAGGTCAAATAGAAAATTCAATAGAATGTTTAAAAACAGCCATAAAATTGTTTTTCTAATATACCTTAAAGCTCGTTCAGAAATGATAAGACTAAAAAGGGAGAAATTGATAAGTACCAAAAAGCAGCCAACAATAATAAATCCGTAATAACGTAGCCAGTGAATAACTGTAATAATGGTTGTAAAAAAAAGCAAATAAATTTAAAAATAATACTTTATCTTATTTTTTTTTCATTCATTTTAAAAATAAAACAGTTTTATCTCACAAATTAGTATTCAAGAAATTAGCAAATTACTTGAAAACGTATTACCTGAGTCAAACACAAACATTTCCATAGATTGAAACGGTTATTAATTTGTTGATTGATGCAATAGTAAATTATTTTAAAAAATATTAATTTTTTAAAATTTGTATGCGATTAAAATAAAAGATGTATATTAGGATGACTGCAACAACAGTAGTTCAGCTAGAAATTGCGAATAAATCATTTCTTCAGCTAACTTATCCAATTAAATTTAATAATTATTCATACATGTGTTTTCTTCTAGTCTCACGTTTTGCTATTTAATATTAAAAACTAATTTATTTTTTTTTCTATTTCTTCGTGTACATTCTATTTAATGTATTTGATGAATAATTTCTGCACACTTTTTATTAAAAATTAATGCCTTCAGTTTCTGTACAGCACTTTATAAAATACTTAATAATTTGATAAGGCAAAAAAGCAAAGTTTTTTATTGCTAATTTTAGCACAAAGAATTATTTATTTTAACTAAATACAACTTTTAAGTTCTTTGTTTAGCAGTTTGATATGAAGAGCAAAATTCTTTACTGCTTTTGCAATTTTTATAAAAAATAAAAAGATAACCTCGTTAATTGCAATACATTTACAGAAATATGTTGATGCTTTACAAAATTATTGCTGATATTATAATTAATTTTGAACAAGAATTATAATTAACATTAAGCAAAAACTAACTGTAAGCTTAAATTAAATAATATTCGAGTAAATCAATTTAACAAACTTATTAATTGCTTCAGTGCTGCACGCAATAAGCATTTGTCCTGTAAATTATCTTTTGCATTTTTCAAAACTATTACACTTTGATTGTTTTCTTCTTCTCGTTCTTACTTATATTTTCAGTTAAAGTCAATAAGAAAGTAATTTTTGTCTTTATTACTTACCATCAGTGTTAAAGCAAACATTAGTAAATATTTGCATAAATCTTTATTGCCACTATACCCTCCTCATACTTATTTACTCAATTAACATCAAAAATATAATATATTATTTGAAATTAAATTAAATAAATTTTTAAAAACAGAAACTTGTTGACCTAATATAAAGAAAAGCTATTAATCATAAAATTTTGAATATATTTTAAGTATGTCAGAGTTATAACAAATTACTTGTAAAAAAATAATCGATTTTGCAGTTTGAACCTATTAGAAATACTTTTATAATTGCCAACTTTAATTTCGTTAATTGCTTCATTCAAAGTTTAATTTTCGTTTTCATTAACAGAGCAAACTAATTATAAAAGATAATCATCACTATATTTTCTTACTCAAAATTATTTTCTAAGCCATATTTTTCATCTAATTTGTTTTCTACTTTCTACGTATACGGGCATCATTACTTTGCGTTTATGCAAAGCAAGTAGTGCAAACAGTAAAACACAACGAGTATTTGGCGTTATAGCTTACTTAAAAAAATTTTCTACATTTACAAAATAAAATTAAGATAGATTTCTCGAGGTCTGTGTATACAATGAACGAGTATGTTTTTCTCAGATGCATCATTTCAGCTTGCTAAAGTAAACAGACATACCTTATTTTTTTATTAAATTTCGTGATCTAAAAGCACATGTGTGAAAAAACATCTGCCTTTTATACAGTAACTGAAATAAGTTATTTAGTTTCATATCACAGTAATTTACTTTTGAAATAGGATTTATTCCAATCCTAAGAACAAAAATCAAAAGTAATGCTAAAAAAGCACAAAATGCTTAGATCTATTAAATTATTCTTCTTATTTTAATTTTTTTAGAGACTACTTGCTAAATACATTCAAACCAGTGCATTGTTTAATCCAATTTGCACTTCTGAATATTTCTCTAAAAATCATTCCCATGCAATTCCAACTTTATCAGATGACAGTTTTTGTTAGATTTCTGTAGCAAATATTACAAGCAGAATTAAATTTCACTTACTTTGCAGTATGCTTTTTTCCCAGCTTTTGGCAATATCAAGTTGCAGTAATAAAAAATCTTAATCCTTGATGACTTCACAAATTGAAAATCATCTTGCTAAGAATATTATTACTATTCCTTTATATTCGTCTACTTCAGCAGGTACATAAATACTGCATTTTGTTTAATCACTATTTCAAGCTTCATATTATAAATATCATAACTTTTTTATGTTTTCAAGATAATCTTAGCAATCAGTTGATAAAAAATTTTATGAAAAAGATTGAATGCGAATGGACGTTTATTATCAGATTCATTGGGAAATAGCTATTCAAGCGCGAATCAATTCAGTAGGTCTCCACTTTCTTCTGCTTTTAACAGTTCTTATGGTAGTTACTGGGAATACGCTGAATCAAGAAAATTTCAAAATAAAATCAACGAATCTATTCATCAATATGGTATAGGTTTTGCATCATTTTTTTTTCCAATTTATTCAAATACTCTCAACAGTTATTTCATGCTGACTTTTCCTGCAATCACTTTCTCGCTCTAACGTAGACTTATTATGATTATAAAATTATATTCGACTGTTGCACGTTTGAGGTAATTCTAACCTACCATAAACTGATTGCTTTAATTATGCTATTCAGATAGCATAAAAAATAAACTTCAGTACTTTTTAATTACTTGCTGCTACCTCTTGCAAGAGCTTTCCTACTTTTAAATACAAAGAGGAAACAATTTTCTAATTTCGATCTAGCAGTCAAGGTAACTGATGACGGAAAACATTTTTCTTCCAAACAGTCAATACTTTATTGTTGAAAAAGTAGCTATTTTTAGGCATTTCCTTGGTAAATTTTCTTTAATAGTAATTAATTAACTTTCACGAAGTTTGCTATGTAAACTGTAATTTAGTATATAACTTGAGTACTTTATGCAAATTTTAAATTGCTATGAATGTAGTTTGGAAAAAGAATTTAAAGTTGAAATGCAAAGAACAGAACAACATATTTGTTAGTCAAATATTACATTTATACTCTTCGCATTCTGCACTTTCATTTTGTATTTTATATTACTTTCATTACGAGATTATTTCAAATGGAAAAAGTAAGCAATTTGATCGACTTGACAATATTTGCTTGAAAATAATATCATCTCAGTACATCTATCTATCTATCTATCTATCTATCTATCTATCTATCTATCTATCTAATCTATCCACTTGTAGCATTTTCTTGTACTTGACAATAATAACTGAATGCTTTTCAAGAAAGTACCATAGTATTCAAGAATTAGACCTAGTTTTTTTCATTTTAAATTCTGAAACTTTGAAATTTGATGATAATGGTATTGCTCGATCGAAACTTTACTCTTCAAGAAATATTGCTGCTAAAACACAAAAATGGGACAAGTATTTCACTAACGACAATAATAAGGTTTCATTTTTCATATGCTAAATTTTGCATAGACTTTTATAACATTTGTTGTATAGCACTTTAAAACAGTAATAATGAAAAAACATGCCAATATACAGAACAATCCACGAGGAATTTATCAATTTCCGCGATGGAGATCAATTGATGCTCTGAGCGCATCGCTGGTAGCTTCCAGAAGCAATATATCACTACCAACAGATAGTAATTTACCATTACATCGACTGCAACTGATGAAATTAACAGAAGAATTGGCTGAGAAAAATAAAGTAAATTTAAACTGGCAAATGCTGTTGCATAATGTTTTAATATTTGAGTTATGAATATTCACATGCATCAATCAATCTACTACTGTCTTCTAGGCAACATGGAAATATGTCGACAAATTCTGAATTTGACAAGAGACTTTATTATTTAGTATTGATATTATCAAGTTAATTTTGAATAATGCAAACATAATTCAAAAAAAGATAGCGTTAAATTTAAGGAGGAGATACACAGAAAAATTGCAAGAGTGAATGCTGCCAAAATGAAACGACACAGTTTGGTTGATTCTAAAGTGCTGCAGTTGGATTATAAGCCGTGGTATGATCAAAAAGTAATCAGCGAAAACATCATCCGTGATTCAATTGCTGATTCCAAAAAAACTCGAAGATTATTTGAAAATAAACTAAACTCTAAAGGTAAATTATTTATTCATTCCATACGTATTAATATTTAAAAAACTGATAAATTCAAAAGCAATACTGTAAGACTGACTTTATTCTTCGAAAAAATTAGTGCTCGTGAAATAGTGATAAATAATTTCAAAAAAATTTTTTTTTGACAGTAATGATTTTTCAAAGTGTTACAGTAGTTTTTACATTGTATACAAGAAAAATTATTCTAATACTTGTCACATAAAGACATTTACTTTTATTTATTGCGATATTAAAATATATCCAAATTATGAAAGAGTAGAAAGATAAATCAGTCTTACAGAATAAGCTTTTTCTGAAAGTGGTTGATCAGAATCAGCCTACTAAACTCAGTGAACAATTAATTATTTTTGAGATACGAACAGAAATCAGAACTCCAACAAAATATTGAAATCAGCGCTAACACAAGAGTGTAGTGAAAAAACAACAAATATTGCTCACAATGTTGTCGGAATCTCATCTGACCACTTAAACTTAAACGAGCAGGTAGTTTCAATACTTGCATTTGTACAAAAAACATAGTTTATAATTACATTTATTATACCACTTGAAATGCCAGTTGTATTATTCATCACACAATATTAACATCTTTAGCCTTCAACATTATTGCAGCAGTGTACCAGAGATATGTTTACGTATGCATTACTTGCTCAAAATTAAACCAATTATCAATCCATTACAGATCCTTTATAAAAAGTTAAAAAAATATTATCAAGAAATAGTGAAAACAAAGAGTGTTACACAAGCCAGCCACATCCAACTGAACGACTTTTCGAAAATACATCTCTGTTACACTCAATCAAACAGACTATTGCTAACAATTAATGAGATTAACCTTCAAGTTTCAGCTATCAAAGCAAGAAAATGACAAACCTATAACAAGTATAAAATTAGTGACGGATGGCTGCATAAAAACTAATAACACATTTTCTCCTAGGCTAAGCAAACAGGAAAGGAAAATAATCGAATTTTTCCAGGAAAATATTCAGACAATTGAAGGTTATGTTTGAGAAAGCATTTACTCAATGTTTCATTTTTAAAGAATTTCAATTACTAAATGTCAAAGTTTAGAAGTTATTTTGTGCTATTCTTCGATCAGTATGAATGCTATATAGTGCATTATAACTGATCGCAATCGGATATTGCAAATGTAAGAAAAACATTTGACAAATGCAATACTCAAAAGAGAAAATTGCTGTAGATTTATTTATTCAGATCTTGGAGTCATTATTCCTTGTCCACTGAAGAAGTTGATGGTAAACAAAACTAACAAAACAAGACAAGTAAGTGTAAGCAGTGAATCAGAAGTGACACAAAAGATAAACGATGATGTTCGTATTTCGAATAAAGAATCTGTTCAAAAGGTAAGATATTGTTGGTACCTATTATCCGTTAATGACTCCATAACATCAAATAACAAAGTATGCTGGCAAACTTTCAATAATAACAGCTTAACAGATCAAAATGTAATAGTACCAATACACAGTACTTAAAGTTGAACATATTTTCAAATAATATTGTATCTTGGTCTCAGAATTCATGCAAAATGTTGACTGATAACTCTAATTTCTCAGTGATAAAAAAATGATTCCATTTTTTGTGTCTGCGTACTTCTAATAATTTTTTAAAAGCCCAAATGAAATGCAATCTTACAGCAGCCAATCACGACACCTGGAAGAATTTATCGCGTAGATTCTGTTAAAACGAGCTTGTCATGTCATCTCAATTGAAATCAAGATTGTTTCCGGGGCAGAACATATGCAAGCATCAACTTCGCTCATCTAATAAGACACTGTCGTCTGAAGTATACTACTAATTACGCTACTGAATAATTTTGAACTTCTAAAAGAACACAATAAAATTAGCAATCTGAGCTTTATTAAGTAGGATGAGGAATCAAAAAACAAATTGGAAATACAAGCCACTGAATCACAATAGAATATGTCACAGCTTGCTTGGAAATAAATAAAAATTTCAGCACTTCGTTATAATAGTGTCAAGTAGATGAATATAATAAACCAGATCCCATTTTTAAAGCTATTGAAATAAGACTTTCAAGCAATCACAAGCACCAGCTCAAGTAGAGCAAAAGCAAAATTTTCAGTAAATGCCAAACGATGTTTCAAGTACATGAAACTGCAGATAAGTGAAGTAAAACGATCAGATTGCTTGTCCACTGCAGTCAGAAATAATAGCTTTAGGTGACACCGTGACCAAAAAAAGCATGAAATCAGTGCTAACTTCCATTCACTCTATTATGACACGAGACTGGTACTCAAGGCACCCAGCTGCCGTGACATTACAAAAAATAATGGAAGCATGGGAAATTCCCCACCCCCAACTTTGCTAACTGATGACATTTTCCATTCAAATTTAGGCTAAAACTGTCGCTATTGGTATGATTTCTTCCCACAAAATTTTCATTTCCCATTGGTCTGTTCTATGAAAAATTTTTGTAACATTTCCTTTTCATGCAAAGAATCGCAATTTTTGCTTATTATTTATCAAAATCATCACTCGCTGTTATATTTCTGTGGTTGTTTTCTTTTATCCGTTAATTAGAGAAATATTCTAGTATCTTTAATCTTTTGCAAATTTTTTACAATGAATAAATTTATATGAAAAACACAAACAGTAAGTATATAGACAGTAATTCCACATTTACAGTAACATATCGTCCAAAAAAGCATCCAGCTCTTGCTCATCAGCTTTTTCAGAATTATGTTCTTCAGCAGGTTTTTTCCAGATTTCTATTAAATTCTTGCTCAATACTTCAGGATCCTCTTTTTTGTTTTCTTCACAATGCTCCTCAGTAGGCACAGGACCCTCCATTTGTAAAAGAGTTTTTTCCTCTGGAGATTTAGTTTCTTCTTGTCTCTTCTTTTGACACCTCAAATTAGCAACGATTAATAGGAAAAATTGGTCGGATTTCCAAGAACAGTACAGCTGCACCGTAAATAAATGGTCTAAATAGCAAAGTTATAGTACAATTTTAAAAGCTCTTGAAAAATTGAAGATAACGACACCACACTGATAAGAGCTGAATGAAGTAAGCCTCAGTCTTAGAAACTTACAATCTTTTAGGTCTATACTTGGATTTCTTTTCCAGTTTTTTCTTCTGAGAATGGTAATTAAGCATACTTGAACAATTAGGACAAAGACGTAACTTGACAAGCGCATTTTTCTTCAAATTGTTCTCCATATATGCGAAATTAACCGAAAATAAAATAAATGCAACAGAAAATTTAAGATAGCGTAGAAATTTAAAAAAGAAGTCTTTAAGATTGATACACATTAAAACAAATAATGACAACTTATTATCACAAAAACGACTGAATAATACGTAAAACTTCATTTGAGATAGTAAAATCCATATTTTTCAAATGAACATAAATTTTATGAATAAAAAGCATCTTATGAAAATTCGGAGAAATATATTAGAATTTTATAAAACACACTTCCCAACTAGTGAGGTTTTCTTTCTCCATGCACTTTTTATTCCCACACTCGAACTGACCCTTTCCTGATTTGACTTCTTTTTCAATTCGCCATCTCATGGCTATTCTACAATCTAATAACTGATACGTGTGAATGATTTAGAGAAGTAGAAACTACTTAATTAAAAGTGTAAAAAGTGAAAGATAGTTTCTCGTAAGTATTATTTAACATCAATTCCACATGTATAACTCTATACTGAAATTCTAAATAACTCTCACTTAAAAAATAAACTTTAATGGGTACTTGTTTTTTTTGTAGTGAGAAAGATCGGCGATGCAATATTCTTTGAAAAGTTTGTCGTAATAACGTTTAGCTAAGCGAGCTTCCCAAGATTTTTCAGCTGCTTTTGCTAACTGAAAAAAAGTCATGAGTTTATAATGCGTGACACTATTTACAGTAGCTACGCTTCTACATGCGCAGATATAAAGTTAGCAACTAAATGGAAATATTGAAACCTCTTCATCATTCCAAAGAAATCTGTGGTTACTTTTCAGAACATCATAATCAGTTCGATCTCTTGATGTGTCTCTTTGCAGTATTGATGTAGCCCCTGGATAGAACAAATAATATTGATTTATGAGCTCTTTGTGCCGTGAATAGACATCTAAGGTCATCAAACGACGCTTATGTCTGGAATTCAACCAAGTAATGATGTCAATCAGAAAATTTCAGTAAATATTTCGGCAGAATAATATATCCCATAAAAACATTCATCCTCACTTTTCAACGCGAGAATGTTCATCGTCAAATAAATTTCTCGCTTTGCCTCGATTAGAAGCGACTTTTTCAAGATGTGGTTTCTTCCACAGCTCATCACCACGCTCAAGTCGACGTTTTCTTTCTGCAGCGGCATCGATGGCAGTTTCTGTTTCATCTGCATGATCGAATTCAGACTCCAAATCTTCATAATCAATTGAAGGGTTCTGCTTACTCATCCTGAGGTTTTATTTCATGATGCTCATAAAATACGCTTTGAAACGAACACGAAGAATAACAAAGCGAGTCAAATTTACTGCTCACACAAATTTTATCCACAAAACTCTGCTACATATTTAGTAGCCAAATGAATTTGAAAAAACATCATAAATTTGAAGAACAAGCAGGAATCTATTGCAATAAGTACGTTAAAAAACTTGCAATATCAAACATTGGAATGAAATCATATTCGCATCTTATTCATGAAGTATATTAATCTTCCCACAAGACTGCAGAACTGAAATTTAGGTTTTGTAACCTATCAAACTTCTCATTAAACTCAGGCTCTGCACAATAAAATATGAATATTTAAAAATACACAAACGAACTGAAATTGCCCCTAATACAAATACCAAACTATTTGACTTCAAATTTTAAAAAATTTCGCAATTATGAAAAATCTATAATGTGATTTGGTTATAAGGATAAGGAGCTCCAAACTATATAGATATATCGAGAATAAACCTACGTCAACTCACACGTGCGTGATCTACAAAAATACAAATGAAAAATGTATTACATACACATGATGTATATGATGTAAGCCTCAAAATGCATGTAGCATTCGCAAATAACGGCCTATAAGACAAAATTTATCAAGGGCATACTTAAAAATGAAGCACAGCTCATTGCATTAATGAGATTATTTCAAATTAATGATGGAAAAGCTATGAAATTCTGCGAAATTATTTCGTTCAGATTAGTCTGGAAGCTCCACAATAATAATTTCCTGGAAACTGAACAAAAATAGAGGAAACCTCATGGATAAGAATAAATGGCTTCTTTCCCACATATTTTTGACATCGCAAAAAACAGAAGTCTACTGTTCTCATTTATGATCGTGAACAAATTAATAAAAAGATAGTGAATGATTTTTTTTAATTACACTCTTTTATTTATTTTTTCTAAAATTTTACAAAGTCTTTTTCCTATTGAAACCTCCCTCGAAAAGGAGTCCTAATTCAAAAATTACTGATACCTGAGATATACTAACTGATTAAATGTTCTTAGATAGTTAAGTAGGCTTTTCCTAAAAAGAAGAGAAATGGACAAACTATTTTATAACATGACGAATACTAATTGAAATATTTTCAAAGAGTTGACATCTCATAATCTTTCCATCTTTTTCTAAATGAACAATGAACGTAGTCTAAAATTTGCAACGACACTGGAAGAAAACTAAAAATTTTTGATAATTTTTATCATGCAATATTTTTAATTGTCATTAAATATAGTAAGCTTCGCTGATTACGGTAAGTGACAGTATACAGCCATCATGTATTTAGCCTGATAATATTCAGATGGTTACGAGCTGTATCCCTTTATAAAAGGTATACCAAGTGGAACTTTCTGTTGGTATTGTATATATTCTATGCCAAAGAAACTGGTTAGATAACATTCTTCCCAATAAATTCTTCTATCCAAGAAATTCCAACTAATCACCAAATAAAGCATAAAACAGAGAGGATTACAGAGCATAACTTGGGTACCTAGACACCAAATCAGCCAACCAAGATATCCTGGATGTCGCACTAAACCATATACACCACTGGTAATTAATTTGTGTTTAGGTAATTTTTTGATGGCGACCATGTGTGTGAAGCCTCCATTTGCATGAATCATTGCAAATTTGCGTAAAATTTCTCCACAAATAATCAACAGTAATCCAAAATAACTTACAGTGATGCTTTTCAAGAGCGGTAAGAAACGTACCTCTACAGCATATTCTATCCAGCTACTGACAGCAGCAATCCAATATGCTAATGAATGATCTAATAAATAAGAAGAAGAATTTAGATCTGATCGATTGGTTAATGCTGTCATCAGAAATTCACCATAGTGAAATGCTGCTACGCATGCAAAATACCAAGCGAATATTGATAAATAGAAATTACTTGTAGAAAAAGTACAAATTACAGACAGCGTAAAAATACCGCCAAGAAGAGATGCCTGGGCTGCATTCCAACGTGCTTGCCAACCACATATTACAATCGATGATAAAATAGATAAAATAAGTACTAGAGATAACAGCTCCAGTTGTTTTGCATGTAGTAAGTAAGCTGAGGCAACTGCTGTTACTGACAATAACGATGAAATTAACGAATGTCGCAGATCGATGTCGCTCCCAATGATTGCTAACATCTTGTTCAGGAATGAAAAGACCATAATATCTAGAAAAGAATAAATTGAATGCAATAATAATAATAATTATTATTATTATTTTTTTATTATAGCTGAAACAATACTACTAATAGCGACAGTAAAAATTACATGTAAGAATAAAGCATATATTATTTAATATCTTTTAACTTGCTTCGAAACGTCTTCTGAATCTTTTTGGTTTTACTTTATTTTCATAAAACTGCTGTTTTCAATCACAAAATAACCTTTTTTAAAAACATACAGAATGCAGAATCTTCTCAGTCACAGATCCGCCCTTTCAAGTACAACATCACATTAACAAATATTTACTTTTCAGAAACTCATTTCAAACTAACATTATATTAATGATTAACGCGGCTACTAAATGAAATTATTTATCTCTAACCGGAATCAAAATTTCGTTAATATAAGAACTACTATCGAACAATTAATTGTGCAAAACGTGATAAAAGCGTTAGTGTGATAACAAAAACAACAACTGCAGCAATTATATCTCGAATTTGAATAAGCAAGGATAAACAAGGATTATGTAGATACTATTCAAATTTATGGTTCACCTTGATAAGCTTTATAACCGCTCATACCTTCACTCCATTCATATTTGGTCTGCGACCATCGCTATCCATATTATTCCAAATTTCTTATTTCTCAAGTATGCTGTTGACTTATCTTACTTATTTTACATTTTTAAAACATTTGCCACAAAATGTTAAAACTTAGCAAACTTATTATGACTAAAACATAAATGTGAGGATTTTTAGCTGTATATTAATATTAATATATAACAAGTCTCTCGTTTCCTTTTTGATTGTTTACTTTTTTTTTTAAAATAACATAAGTTCTGCAAATGCCAATCATTTATAGCGCTTAATTCTTTTTATCAACGTAGCTTGCAGAATATTTCTTGTAATAAGCATTTGCAATTTATTCTTGCATTTGTCTTCAATAATAAGAAATCCATTGCATAACTAACTGTGCTAACTTTTTTCAACTTGTTTGATCATATGCCAGCTAATTAATTATTGGCGTGAATGCGAGCAATGAAATCATCAAAATAGAAAAATTAACCTTCTGTTAATTATAAAATTTTTTCACTTCTTCATTGCAATTAAATGATAATTCGCTAGCAAGATATTTATTTTCATTATATTTTTGTATGCATGAATGTTCATTCATTTGGATAGTGAAATTTTTATTATGCACAAACTAATTAATAGAATGATCTCTTGCTTATTCATTTTACATTTGCAAGTTTTGATAAAAATAGTGTCACAATGAAAGGTTCATCTCATTTTGGGTCAACTTACACAGCAATGAGAGGGTAGAAAGATAGTCCTAGAAAAAGGAAATGAAAATTTGTTCGAAAATGAGTGATATGATAAAATGAAATGAGAGCAGATGACAATACTTTGAAAAGATTTACATTTCAGATTTAATTGCATATTCCATTATGAATAGCATTCATATCCGATCATTTTGAGAAGTATGTCTGCTAGCAATATTATATGCTTATTAGTATCATTTAAAAGGAGATAAAATTAGAAAATAATAATAAAAAAAGAAAAAAGATAGTTTTTTAGATATTAGGCAAGATTAATTTCGATACACAAACAGTAAATGAGCAATCGTTTCACTTTTTAATTGGAGATTGCAATAATTCTGATTAAAAATTGCTACGCTAAACTACATTTACTGCACAAAAATGCAATACAATTTAATGCAAAAAGCATACAAAAATGGTTAAGATTTATTACAAGAAGTGAGTGAATTCAAAAGAAATGATTTGAAAGTATGAATAAATATAAATAGGAATTAACATTAAAGGATTTTGTGATAAGTAAACATTGAGTATAAAATTTAATTATTTGAAAAAATGAAATTATTTTAGAACATAAATATTATGTTGTAAGATAGTAATTAAGTATTGGGAAAAAAATGAATGAATGAATGAATATGAAATTGGGTTGTATATGATGTATTTAAAAACATATCAACGAGAAGTAATCGTCTTCCATTTTTCTCATTCAAAAGTAAGATGATAAAGCACAGAATCTTGTAATTATTGTCTTAATAATGCAAGTTTGTCATTCGCAAGTAAATATCTGTTTACTTTATTAATATTCGCCAAATAAGAAATTCATTAAAAATAATCTATGATCGCCTTTGCATGCAACAACCTGTTACCATTGTTACAACAATATTTGCATCATATTTTATACTCATAGTTGTTAACAAAAACGCATAGCTACCATGCAGTTTTCCTCTTCAAACATTCAACTGATTTATAGCTTCAACTAGCTTATACAATGAAACTCAGAAAGTCAAACTCAAGACTGTCTACAGTTCGTGACTGATTGGCAGTAGTAATTGAAGAAATTAAAATTAACTAATTCTTTCTATACTATTCTTTCCAGAATGAATCTGAATTTCTTACATCAATACTTGCGTAATGAAGCCAAGCATGCGTAATAATTGCTGAATACGATCATGTACGTGCTTTTATCGCTGTCGCCATTACAAAACATCATTTTGTAATTTACTAGTATTTATGTCATGCGATTTCTTATACGTAAACAGTAATAACTGTACCAATTAATAGCAAATATTAATATCAGTTATTTTCAGAAATTTTTCACAAAATACTCGTAAAATTAGTCAAAAATTGACGACTGGCTATAAAAGTAATCTTATTTGTAGAAATAATCTATAAGTTTATAATCGATAATAAAATAAACTACAATCGTTACCTACTCCATACAACCAACAATATTAAGTCGTTATCTTTTCTGACAATGCCGTGACCTCGTTGAATACTTTTCATTTTTTCTTAGCATCACTCTACCGGTACTATCTGTCTAACATTGATGGCAGTTATGACGTAATACATGGGGTGTACACGCATGCACTCATACATATTCACATACATATGTATAAAGAGAGCATACATGCACCCCAAAAGTGGGTGTAACTAAGTTGCGAGAGGTATATTTGAATCACTGGGACATGTGAGGTGACGTTTGCATACGTGTCCTCCGCGGTGCTGTCAAACTTTTACCATATTATTTTTTCTTCATTTTGTTCGCTATTTTTTTTGAATATAAATTGCAAGCACCAAGCTGCACAGTACTTCAGAGATAGCTTTCATTTAATTATTTTTTACTGCGAAAAAGAATAGTATCGTATTCAGTGGCAGATAGAAACATGCAAGTAAGTCAACCTCTTCAAGTTTATGTTTTCGAGTAGTCAATATATCTCTTAGTTCTATATTTATACTGCCGTGCTTATTTGAAAATAATATCACAATAAAGCAGAAATCGGTCCATTTGGCTCATAGTACAACAATATGTAAATTCCTGCGTTGTTTTTGCAAACTGTCATCACATTGCTAAAGTAAATGATATATGACCGCCATCATAACAACTATTTGTTAGCCAAACTACAAGCCACTTTAAACGGGCTGCGTTATATAAAGCTGTTTGACCTTCCCGGCAAGTTGCCTTCCTCAACTCAACATTCCTTAATATTGACCTCATTCATGCTGTGTTCAGTATGTTTTTGTGATTAATAGAGTAGGCAAAGTATTTAGTTGCTCTCTGTTCTATAGAAGGGATCTGAGTGCTAAATTTATTAGTAATTTGATCTGTAAATACAAGAATCTATTTAATTAACGTATGGAATGTCACGTACGTATGTTGCTCACTAATTTGTCATAAATTAAAAATCTCTAACTATTTCAAAGTAGTAATTGACTTGAAACTTGTTATCATCTATCTCATCTATCTAGTTTTCCATGTCGATGTAATTAAAAAAGTATTTTGTGTAATTTTTAAAGCAAGAACGATTTAGAATTAGACATGTTGTTACTGTAAACTCATACTAAACTCCTAAATACTTCAGTGTTAGTCAGTACCATAATTTGTTTATCGTTGGCATGTGAAAGCATTTGTGCTATTTGCTGCATACAACTGATTGTTTTTCTTTTTTGAATCACATAAGGGTTGAGTTATAAGGTAATGAACTGCTTATTATAAGTCATGTGAAACTTGAGCTATGCGCACTTTTACTTTCTTTGCTGATGATTGCTAATTATCTCTACAAGTATGCAATGGCTATTTTTTTAAACCGTTTTCTTCACTGACGTCATCATAGATGAATTTCCCAACTTACTCAATCAATATTCTGCGAAAAAACGTGCTTAATAATTGAGTTGCGTCTTCTTATTAGGTGTCATTCACAGATCTCTTAGAAGTATGTCTAAGTTGAGTTGTATCTCATTTTAATATAGTTTTTAAAAATTTTAAATAGTTATTAAAAGCTGAAGTAACTATAATAAGCCGTCTAGCACATTTTTTGTTTTTTTTTAATCGTAGCCTTATATTTTGAATATTAGATTACTGTGTTTGAATGCTTCTTCATTATCAAATATGTTGGCAATAACCAGCAACATGTTTAATATCATAAATGAACTTGTTAAGCTTGTTACGATAAACATTTAATTGATAAAGCTGTCAGAATTATTATTTTAAGTTACTGTTAGTAGAGCATCTCTACGAATCAGTGGTAAGGGTTGTATCATTTTATTTGTTCCAAATTTGATTACTTGTCCGAATACGCTTGCTAGGAAATGTCATAAGTGAAGTTGACTGTCATACAATAATAGACCATCTTTCTACGGCTTAATTATGGCTAAAGAATTGATGGACAAAAAAGTAACTGAGCTATGTATTTCCGAGATATTTGTCATGTTCTCCATATTTGCATACTTATTTAAACATTAAGAACGTATTGCCTCATGACAACACTTCATATCATATAAAACAGATTTAATACTTATAGAGTTGACGCGAGGAATTAATTCATGTTCATTATTAATGTAAAAGTCATGGGATTGATTGTAATCAATGAAGCTCCAATCATATGTTTGGTTGTGAAGTTATAATCGTCTTAGTCATTTTGTTTATCATTAACCATCGTTTCATCAGTACTTATATATTTTTGGTCGATACAGCGATTAGTATAAATTTTATTGCAGCACTGAAAACGAAACCCGAACTAGCCCAGCGGAATACTCGAGCCGATCATCGTAAAACTACGAGCCTGAATAACACGGTAGAACTTGAACCAAATATGGAAAATATCGTGATTTGTAATCAAGATAAATCAATTGGACAATCTGACTTTGCAAGCGAAGGTTGATTTTTATTTCATAGTTTTTTAATGTTTTAATATTGGCTGAATGAATATTTTATTTGATTTCACTTTTCTGATAGCAGTATTTCATTTTCATTTTACTTCAGTCTTCTAATAATGATTTTCTCTCTTTTACTCATTTTTTTCACTTTTTCTGTAGTTTCATTTATTTCTGTACGTAGAAAAAAAAGATTTTACATTGAGACATTCAAATCCATTCATGATGTGAAATTATGATATAATTTTCGTGCATTTGCAAAAACACCAATCATTTTCGGAAATGGTTCTTAAAAAAAATAATTTTGATCTGAATTTAAGATTCTTAATTGAACGATAACTTCTATAACCATAATTTACTTCGATTTTCCTTAGTTTTCTTTTTTTTTTGGTGGTATAGTTCACTGTTTAGTTACCGAACTTTGAGGCTCGCTTTAATATCGTAGTACCTATAAATTCTAACTTTTGACTACTTACACTTGATTTTGTAGGTGTTTTGAATTTGGCACCAGGTGCTGAACGTCAATATGCATTAATGCAAAATGGTAATGCAGCAGGAGCAAATGGAATAAATCATACTGAAACTGGAGTCAGTGTTCTCGATTACAGCACGGATTTTCCTGAGCTACCAGACAAAACAAATACTTGTGTCAATCAGCTACTTGGCGGTGTATGGAATAAGCCTCCTGCAGTTCGTTCTGAAAAAGTTACTCAGGTAGTTAGATTTAAGCATTTTTTGCTTTGATTACAGAAGCGGTAAATACATTTTTTTTCTCAATTATCGTGAAAATTTCATTTAAATAAAGAAGTTATGGCTGTGGTCCTTTCAGGTTTATCACTTATCAGGGGATGAGCGTATGTCAAGAGTTAGTGGCAAAAATTTTGGTAATGCAAATGAAGAGCAGCAAAAATGTAATGAAATTGCAATTGCTACTGGCACAGAAATCGAAATTTGTGAAGCGAAAGATCACTCATTAACGCTTTTAATTACCGGGAAACGTCAACAAGTGGAGGAAGCACGTTCTCGCGTTGCTCGAAGGCTGAAGACTCAGGCAACTAGAGAGATTTCAATACCAAAAGAACATCATCGAGTTTTAATTGGTAAAACTAAGAAATTTCATCGAGTTTTAATTTGTAAATATATATATATGACAGCGCTGTGACTGATTTTCGAGTTTGTATGCTTAAAAGGTTGGCAGTAGTCACACCGGAATGCTTGATTCCAGGGAAAGAAGGACTCAAGTTGCGACAACTGGAACAGGATACAGATTGTAGAATAGTGGTACCAAATCGTGATTTAGCTAGTGATGTTATAAAAATAATTGGTCCACGAGATGGTATAGAAAAAGCAATTCATGAAATCCAACTTGTTAGTGATAAACAGGTAAATTTTGTTCATATCATAATTCCTGAAATAAAATGGTAGATTCAGCAGTCAAGCCCAGTTACCTCTGAGAATATTTAAGGCATTGTCAGAGGTACCATGCTGTTCTTATATGTTCAAGCTATAATCTTGGTTGGTCTCAGATTTGTGCCTCTTTTGTGAAATCTGTTTTTTATTTCCTGTTTTCAGTGTTGAATACGTAACAAATATAAGATTTAAAAAATTGCAGTCAAAATTGGCACAAGAACATTTGTTGATACCACGAATTTATTATCCATTTATTCGCGGACCATTTAATGAAAGAATCAATGAACTAGCTAGTGAAACAGGAGCTAAGATTAACATTCCACCACCCTTGGCATCGAGTGAAGTGATAGTTATTACTGGCGAAAAAGAAGGAGTCCATCGTGCGGTTGCGGGTGTTCGGCAAATCTACGAAACTATGAAGGCAGTCGTGAAACCAGTTACATGTCAGGTATTGTTTTATTATTCTAGGCATAAGCTTGGTTTGTTTTTTTTGTTCATTCACGACGTTAGCGAAGTGTATTGATTGATTATTTGATGTGATCGTTATTTGTTGCAACCAGACATGTTAAATTAATTCATTTGTTGCTTCTAGAATTGGTTTCCATTATTTTTAAAGTTATTTATTACAAAAATCTTTTACAGTTTTTTATTTTTGTACTCAATTGTATACTCGTTTAAGTTTTTTTTTTTCATTAAATTTGTCACTGCAGTGATTGATGCAAAGCTCTTGCAACATTTGCTTTTCTTAGAAATGTGAGCACTTATGATTTACGCATATATAGGTAACTCGTGCACAGCATCGTTATATCGTTGGACCGCAGCGACGCGGATTAGCTGAAATTCTGAAAGCAACTGGTGTAAGTGTTGAAGTGCCTCCGGAAGATGAAGATTCTGATACTATCACCTTGCGTGGTGATCCGCAAAAATTGGGGGAAGCATTAGCAATGGTTTATGCTAAGGCAAGTAGTGTTATTACGGCAGAAATTACCTGTGAACCATGGATGCACAAATTTCTGATTGGAGCAAAAGGAGCAACGTTAGAGGTATATATTCGTATTTGTCTTAAGTATTTCCGTCGTGTTCAGTAAATCATGTTTATCATAGTTTTTTGCGTTTTTTGCATGTTTTTGTACTTAGTTCACTAAATAATATAGTTCATAACTTACTAGTACTTCCCAATTTGTTCTCTAATTAGTTTTTTCATATCATTTTCAGTTTCAAATATTTCCATTCATTTTGATATGCAACTCAAATTTTCGGCATTCAAGTATTTTTGTGATGTAAACAAGATCTTGGAATATATTTCATGCTTTCAGTCATTGGTTCCTAACAAAGATAAAGTTCAAATTGGATTTGAGCAAGATGGTTTGATCTATTTAGAAGGAGCACCAGAAGAAGTTAAAAAGGCTCAGGTATCATTACTCAATGAAATAAATCGTCTTTCTGAAGAAATGTCTTCTGAAATCATCAAAGTACATCCGTCGCTTCATCGTCATGTAATTGGTAGAGGAGGAGCTTTAAGTTCGTCTTTGCATTTGATTTCTCAAATATTCTTTATTGAGGCAATACATCGCTTAGAGAATAAATGTATCGTGTGGAGTAGAAGCTACCGATTATATTTGAAAAAAAACTGTATAATATGATTTGTTAATTTGGCAAGATGAATGCATGCCTGTTTTGCACTACGAAATGTTTTGAAGTATACTTGAAAGCAGGTGTTGAATAGCAGAATCAGCACCAGTAAGGTATTATCGAGTTTACATTTTTCGGATTTAGTTTCCAGAATCAAAGATGAAACTGGAGTGCAAATTACTATTCCCAATGAGCAAACAAATTCTGATGAGATAAAAATCGAAGGTAGAAAAGAAGGTGTTAAAAAGGCCATTGAAGACATAACTGAAGTTGTTCGAAGAATCGTATGTCTATTTCTTAAATTATCTTAAAAATTCGAAAATATTTTGTTTAAAAATTTTTCTTAAATCACTATCTTGTTTCTGTTTTTTAAAAATTGTGTGCTTTTAATGTATAAATGTGTTCGGGGAGGGTAACTTCAGTTACCAGATATGAAGTGGTTTTTACCATCTTTTCGGTACATTGTGAACATACTTATCATTCTTGGGTAATTATCTTTTTTTTACTACATAAAGCAAATATTGTATTGTTTTTGAAAAGTCATGAAATGCTTAATTCTTTCTGTTTTCTTAGGAAAATGAAAAAACACGTGATATAATTATTGAACAAAGATTTCACAAGCTGTTAATTGGTCCCAAGGGTGAAGCTATTCAAAAATTACGTGAACAGTTTCCTTCTGTCACTTTCTCTTTCCCAGAACCTGGAAGAAAGTCAGATATCGTGAATTTGAGAGGAGACAAAACTGAAGTTGACAAAGCTTATAAACAGTTGGCTTCATTAAATAAAGAATTGGTTAGTGCTAACCAATTTTGTTTTCTATTTTGAAATTTTCTTTTGATTTCTAGTTCGAATGTGAATTTTTGCGCTAATATTGAAGTCCAGCATCATTCTTGAATAATAAACTACTTCAGCTGGAAACCAATTTTCAAATGGCAGTCCCTATTTTCAAAGAATTTCACAAACATATCATTGGAAAAGGCGGTGCCAATATCAAGAAAATTCGGGAAGAAACGCAAACACGGATTGATCTGCCGAGTGGTGCTAGTAACGAAGACAAAATCAGAGTCACTGGTAAAAAGGCAAATGTAGAAAAAGCTGTCGAACAGTTGACGAAAATTCAGAATGAATTAGTAAGTATCAAAGTGAACAAGATTTCTGCATTCTGGTAGATTCTTTGCTGGGTAATACTCTATTAGCTTTCATCAATGAAAAAAATTTGTCAAATATATATTAACAGAAAAAGAAGGCGAGAAATATGTTCTGTAGGTAGCGGCTCAGGCATTTAATTGTTGATAGTCATCATAATTTTGAAATTAGTTCTATTGAAAAGCGCATTTAATCCGTTACAAAAGTTTTTTTAAATTGTTATACTGAGGAAAATTATCAAGGGACAATAAAAAATGACATGATTACATCGTCTTAGCTTTCTTATTAAGGCGAGTATTGTATCAGTGGAAGTAAACATCCCTCATAAAATTCATTCTCGTCTTCTTGGTAGTGGCCGTCGACTCATACAAGATATACAAGATGAATGTGGTGATGTTCATATCAAATTTCCTCCGGAAAAAATAATTTCTGATAAGGTTTGATATTACGCATTTCTAATTTTTACATGTTATTTGTATTACTGGTCGTATTTGTTAAATTATTTCGAAATATTTAAGGTGAGCATTCGTGGTTCAAAGGATGATGTTGGTCGGGCTGAGAAAATGTTGTTGGCTTTAGCAAAAGATTGGGAGTTGTCAAGTTTTGAAGATTGTGTTTCAGCAAAACCGGAATTTTGTAGATTTGTTATTGCGAAAGGAGGTTTTCATATAAAAAGGGTTAGCAATATCTGTTTACAAAGCGTATTCTTTACTGATACTTCTAATTAAGTTTGTTCATGTCACTATAGTTGTAATGAAAACAGTATTTTGATGAATTTTGCAATTTTTTGACTTCAAACTATGTTTTTGATAGATGTCAACTAGATTTTGTTTCACTTAGATGAAAGGTATGGTAGTGAGATAAAAGATGGAAGTTTATCTGCGCGAACACCTCGAGAAAATTATTACTAGAAACTATGAATTTGTGCGAAATGAGCACAAATTATAAAGATCCAATTTTAACACTGGTGATGTTTAGATCCGAGATATGTGTCCTGATGTCCGTGTATTAATTCCTCAAACTAATATTGATCTGAATGATTTCACCATTCGTTTTATTGGCAAGAAAGAAGATGTAGCAAAGGTGAAGGAAGAGATGGAATCCATGATGGAAGAATTGGTAAAACCTATCATTTTTGCGCTTTTTGTATTTGAAAATTATTATTTTGGTTGGGCGTAGATGAATGACATTTTTTCAAATACATACTTTTGCATCCAAGTTCGGAGTAATTCATTCTTAGCTTGATTGATATATTCGATTCATATGTATTGATTTTACTATTAAGTATTTAGTTATTTGTCTTTCATTATAGACAAAATATTATTTGTCTTTCATTATAGAGCGTTTGTTAAACAGATCATATAAAGAAAGACTGAGTTTTTCTTAGTTTTATTCTACGTCGGAAGTAATTATTTAGTTGTTGGTATTTCCTCTTAACATTAGTTGAGGCGGGTAAATAGCGATGTCAGTATGAATTGAGGCAGAGTTATTTCAGATCAATTTCAACATTTTATTACCTTAATCTTTGTTCTTAGCAATAGATTATGACTTTATGACTGTTTTTATTGAAGTAATTTTTTTAATAAATTATTACACTAAATTGAAGTGCATCAGCAAGTGTATTCTTTTATGGTTTTATCAAATATAATTGGAATTTCAGAATAAAACTGTTGAGATTGAAATGGATGTTGATCCGAAATATCATCGCTATTTTGTGATCCGTAACGCTGCCGTATTGCGAGAAATCCAAGATCAGAATGGTGGAGTTTTAATTTTTTTTCCGCGCGCTGGCACTAATGACAGCAAAGTTACGTTGAAAGGTGGCAAGCAGTACGTTGAAGGCGCAAAAGATCGAATTGAAAAAATTGTTCAAGAACTAGTTAGTTACAGTCCTTTTCTGTATTCAAAATGTTATTTGTCTTTCATTATAGAGCGTTTGTTAAACAGATCATATAAAGAAAGACTGAGTTTTTCTTAGTTTTATTCTACGTCGGAAGTAATTATTTAGTTGTTGGTATTTCCTCTTAACATTAGTTGAGGCGGGTAAATAGCGACAAGTGAAAAGATAAGTATCTTACTTTAACTTTTGTATTCTAGGCTTCACGAGTAGTCTTGAAAATCGAGATACCGGAAGAGCATCATCGTGCTTTGCTCTCTAATCGGGGACAAAAGATTCAGGAGCTTCAAACCACGTATAATGTTCAGATCAGGTTTCCAGATCGACGGTTACGAGGTCGTTTTAAAGATTTTTGAAAGCATGTTGATTTTTGTCATTGTCTAATCTAAATAATTTCTTTCTCAAGACATAGCTTTCATTACTGTGTACAATTTTTGCAGAAAACCTCCAAAATGAGTCAAATAAAAATGTCCAAGGTGAACCATCTCCACTTGATATTATCACGATTTCTGGTCTCGAAGTAAGTTGTGAAAAGGCGGCTGAAGCGCTTAAAGCTCTGGTACCTGTTACCAAAAAAGTAAGTTTGCCCGCACAGTTAAATCAATAAATAAATTTCTATATGAAATGGTAAAAAGATTTTTTTTTGAATAGTCACCAGTTATGGTTATTTGATACTATTATACAATTTAGGCCCAGAAAAACATACTTCAATCTATAAACATTTATTACTTGAATTAGATAGGCCCGTATGTTTTACCAGAGAGCTAAATTGCATTTTAAGCTTTATTATAATTTTTCAACAAATAATAGGATCATTTATCTCTCTCTTGCATTTTTTATTCTTAGGTAAACGTTGCATTTGAATATCACCGTTTCTTGATCGGTAGAAGTGGTGAAACTATACGTTCGCTAATGCAAGCACATGATGTGAATATTACGATACCTCCTGAAGATACACACTTGAATGAAATATTAGTGACTGGTACTAATGAGAATGTTGAATCTGCCGTGGCTGAAATTTTGAGACGTGTTAGAGAATTTGAAGAAGCAGCTGAAGATCGAGTACTTATTCATTTTTTGTAACACATTTTTGAAGTAGAAAAGGATAAAAACAGAAATCTTATGTTTATTTTGATTTTGTTGTCGTACACGTTGTATTTAATATGATTTAGAGTCACATAGAGCGAGGCGAAAGTCTTTTTTAGTTTCACCAGAAAATTAACTTTCTTAAAAGTTAGCTGCTGCAGACTAGAAAAGTTGGAACCACTTGTTTGTTCATGAATTATGTTGATAATTTGGTTTCATCTTATCTAATTTCAGCGTTTACGGTCTTTCAAACTTACCTTTGATATTCCGTCAGAATATCACGTTCGCTTAATTGGTCCACGTGGTAAAGTTGTAAACGAATTGCGTTTGAAGCACGACGTTTCCATCGCATTCCCCCGTAATAGTGATATGCCAGACACTATTACACTCACAGGTAGCTCTTTGACGAGTAGTTCTGGTCTTCAAAACTTGGATACTGTCAAAATAAAACAATACATTTACTTTATGATAGAACATTTATGTTCTAGGTTATGAAGCCAATTGTATCGCATGTAAGCAGGAAATGGAAGCAATGGTTGGTGAGGTGCAGTCTCTTTTTTCTCAGCAAATCTTTCTTGATGCGGCTTTTCATCCCCGTTTAATTGGTCAGAAAGGTCGTAATCTGAAAAAAGTAATTTTTAATATCTTTACAGAGATTGTAGGCATTAACACACTGAAACGCGTGAATAATACTTGCATTTTCAATTAATCTTTTCGAAAGGCAATACTTTTTATTTGAGTGCACAACTTCTTTGTTTTATTTGCATAAATCATTATTTTTTTCACTAACTGCTCATTTTGTAGTCGTTTATGGTAAAAATTAGAAGTAATTATATAGCAAAATGGTGATAATGTTTATAATCAAAAGAACAAGTGTTTTGTAGCCGTCATTTTCAAATAAAATAATATTTAATGGTAGAACTATTTTCTTTATCATGCCAAAAAATATAGTCTGTTGTATAATGGATTTTAGGTCATGGATACGTTCAGAGTTGAAATTCGTCTACCAAGAAGTAATGATCCAGATCCAAATCTGGTAGTTGTTGCTGGTAAGAATGAAGATGCAGTATATGACTGCATTGAGCAATTGCGTCGAGAAGAAGAAGAATTTTTACAAGTATAAAGCTATTTTTATTATTAAATACCATTGTTCACGACTGTTTTCGTTTCAGCTCCTTTATTACTGATACCGTAGATCAGTATTGATTTTTAATGCAAAATAATTTTGATTGTCCTTTTGCTGACTAAAAAATTCTTCATGATTTGAGGATTACAGTGCCCTTTGGCAAGCTTTTTTGCAAAAAGTTGTCTATTTTAATTGTTTTTACTGATATATTTTGAGAGTTGGGTATTTAAATTATGTGATTTATAGTCTCTGAGCAGTCTTTTTGCATATAGTTTCATCCAAACACTGGGTAGTTCCTTCGTTTTAATAAAAAGAATATAATCATGTTTCGAAAATGTAATTCTTAAAAATGATATGTGAAAAGTTTACAAGGTCTTAATTTTAGGAACGCTTAGAACGTAATCAGTATTTTTCACTGCGTGCTGCTGAACAGCCACCACCACCACCACGTATTGAGGTTGAAATTAAAGGAGCACCATGGCAATTAGATATGCAATCTGAAGAACAATTTCCGACAATGGGCACAACTCAGGGAACTGCAGCTGCTGGTGGTGTATGGAGTGGAGTACGTAGATTTTGAAACGAGAAATAGGTTTAAGAGAAACAGCAAAACTCTAGTCTGATAAATTTTACTAATAATATAAATCTTTTTTTTTTTTGTTTTTATTGTGTAATCCAAATATTTTCAATATTTTGGTCTATTTGTAATGTTTGTAACTTTATTTATTTTCAAAGTTTTATGAAATACTTTCATTGAAGATTGCACTAAATCTGTAAACTCAACATCTGTAAATCGAAGTCTCAGTATGCCTATTTATTCCGTCTTTTCCTTGCTGTGAATGATTTATTTTTAAAGGAAAAGTAAGTATTTTCGGTAATTATTTTCTTTCCGTTACAGTGCCTTGATGACGTGTCAACTTTTGTTTCGTAAATATGCTCACATCACTCACATCATCTACAATGTTGCAGTGATCTTCACATTCATACCTTTTATTTATTGGGCGTAAAATGGGCACTGAATATGCACTTCAGTTTCTACTGTTCTTCAGCTCTTGGTTTCGGGAATGCATATCACTTTGTCTAAGCACTTAATTTAAATGGCATGCGCTTACAGTTTAAATTATAACTAGTGAGGAGGAGTGATAGGTCCTTTTCAAGATAGATCCCTTTGTGATAAGACAATATAATTTAAACTACAGTGAAATTCAGTTCTTCGAAACAAGCATTTTTTTGGTCGGAAAATATTTTAGAGTAATCTGATTGTTCTGCACTGTGATATATATACTACATATATGGTACGAAATTAAAAACTTGAAGATGCTATTTCAAATCAAGTCACTTTAAGTTTTATTTTATCATGCGATATCGGAATTGGTTTTTTGACCCTAACACGATACTGTTCTTTCAAAGTCCAAATATATGTAGAAATGAATATATAGTTTATGATATCACAGTAGGACAATGTAGTAAAGTGCCTTTAGGTGGGTATTATTTCGTTTGTTACTCTAGATATTATGTCTTGTTACTGTTCCATTTTATTAGTCATTTGCGGGATTCGTTGTTTGATTTATAAAAACTTTTACATTTCTTAGGTTCATGATTTTGCTTTCTAATCTGATTCGTGGTCATTTTTTTGGTCAATTTGCAGCCTTTATACCATAAAACTTTCAGTGGGTTCCAAGTTTTGTATGTACTCTGTGAATAAGGAAAAAGAAGTGTAAAGGTAGTTAATGGTCTTCTGTGTTTTCATATCTTGTGTCATCTGTGATTGTGGTACTAAAATTTGGATGATCGGAACATATCTTTCTGGGCCCCGGGAAGGTTTATTTGACTTACAATTTTATTTGGACCTATTTTCACTATTTTGGGAGATTGAGCTTTACAAAATTGGGAAATAATTGTGAATAGAGAGTAGCTAACGTGTTTATATGCAATTGTATTTCCTTTTTAGGCTTGCAAAAAGGGACAAGAGTTGTGCTTTACTGGAAATAATTTAGTGTCAAAAAATCTCGCGATGAAGGGATTTTATTTATGAAATCTTTTAGGAGTAAAAAGTCTTCTCGTCCCAGTCTTTTTCACAGATATCAAAATTATCGAACGTAAGGTGAGTTTGTTTCTCCTCGGACAAGATTTGTATAATCGATGACAAAACTGATTTCACCGTTGGTAAGTGGAAAATTACAGATTTTCTTGTCACCGAGACGACGCATGTCAATTTCCCGTAACTCCGAATTCTTGTTGTTACCGAGATTGAAAAAAACTCGAGATTTATCCACATCTCTCCTGTAACGCGAAGTTATTTTTAGACAGCAGTTGGTTGTTGGTTTCCGACTTCCATGTTTTTTGACGAAGGAAGGGGTACCCCTGTGTTATTTTTGATTCATCAAATTTCAAGAAATATCGAAGTCATTCTTCTGGACTCAAGATTTTGGCGTACGAAAAAATAACCTGTCACCAATAATCCATTGCAGGGCTTTGCGCAAAGTTTCGGTTGAACCGGTCTCATTGACAAAGTGATGTCTACAAATAGTTTCCAGAGGACCTTTTTCAAGTATTAAGACTTTGACGTTTATGAGTTCTTTCAGGTCTAGTTTACTACTGCTTGATTGACTTTCGGATGATCCTTGGCTTGATGATATTACTTCCTTAAGAAGACTACAAAAATTCCAAGAAATGAGGGATTGGTGTTATGGAATTTAGAACTTGGTAGAAAATACAAGAGCATGCAATAATTATGAATGAAGAAGTGTTTAGTCGCATGATCACCATGGCGCGTCGGAAACGTTTCAGCTTTCCATCATCCTTATTAAGATTATGAGCTGCAGCAGTAATTTCATCTAATTTCCGGTTATTGATGATCATTTGCAAATATTTATGTCTCAAAATCGGATCAGGACAGAGCACTGCCAAGTCCGCTGCAAAGCACTGTGGGTTGCAACAACCCATAGAACCTAAATTTTTTGTTCACAAATAATTACAAACTTTGGGCTGCGTAACCAGGAAAGACACTGAGTTTTTTGGAGGAGAAATAAGTCATTCCTTGCTCCCCTAAATTGTCAGTACATTTTGAACGACTTGTTATGAACTATTGTTCAGTGTTAGTGATATAATTTCAACTTATGAGCCAATATCCAAATTGAATATGAATTCATTGTGAAACTAAGATTTCATATGAAAATCTAATATTTACTCTGAAATCTATATTTATTATATTTATATATTTTATCACTTTGAAAAGGAAATAGAAGATGCTCTCCTCTCATTCGTCTGAACCTTATGCTACTTATGCTACCTTATGCTGTCTGAACCTTTACTCAGTCTAATTCATTCATTTTTACCGTCAACATTTTTGATTACTGGAGCATTAATGTTGCATAAGGGACAGATTGCGTGATCACATCGTCCATTTATTCGTAATTCTTTTGCAGAACGCATTTTTTTGCATGGCCCGTCGCATCTACGATTCACTTCATTTGTTAATGAGGTTGCGGAACCTAGAAGAATTTTATTAATTTTTCCACATAACGTACGCAAACATCACGTAACATCTGAAAGTTAATCTTTAATTTATGAATCACGTACCGAGTTCAACACTTGTTTCCATGTTTTGCATAGAGCGTTGTTGTCTCAACTCAGCATGCGAGTCTGCTGCAAACAAATTAAGTGCCACTTATTTAAATGCACAAATTATCATGAAATCCAGTGCTTTCAATTTTTGTTGTAAAGCTTTCATAATTCAACTTTGTATCTTAATTATATTTTGAGAATAAAATAAATATTACCGCTGTCAGTTCACGGAAAAATTTCATGATCACAAGTTATTTATTTTCATAAAAGTCCGAAAATTTTATTACAATTTTTATGATGTCAAAATTGTATTAAGCATGAATAATGAAGGTAGCATATGTAAAGATGCAAGACAATTAATTACTCAGTTCTGATTTGAGAATATTCTTAAATTTATTGTAGTGGAAAGCAGTGCAAGTGAAGATGTTTCGTTTTTAATCTGATAACAAAATTGTTTGAGAATAATCCACATTTAAGTAAATTCAAATATGCATACCTGGTTCGTCGTCACATACCAAATCGACATCGTTATAAATGGAATGAGTTGGAGTTCCATACCAAGTCAGCGTGAACGTGTAACAAGGTCTGGATGGTTATGTAATTTATAAATCATAAAATTGTCATGCAAAAGCAGAAATCTCCTGAACTAAAATTTTAGATGGAGAAAATTTTTGCATTATATTTATTTTAAAGACTTGCAAATAAACTTTAAAAATATTTGACTGCAAACTGCTAGAAATATACGTTTTTTTATCTGCCTTGCACACTGCTTTCATTGTGCACAAAATCGGTTCTATTTTATTACGGAATCTTTCACGTACATATAGTGGTACAAAATCGTGTATGTTATAATTTCCAAAAGCTGAAAAATCAAACAAAATAGAAAATTAGACAAGAAAATTTAGTAATAGTACTAGTAATAATAAATAAAGAATATGATTCTTTTATAGTTGTGATGTTATCTAAATTATTTAACCCATTTCTTTAGAATGAACGGGACGAGCCCCTTCATCTAAGCAGTCGGAAAATACATCTTCCTTTGTTAATGATCTGTAAAATAACTGACACATTATTAATTGCTTCATTAAACTGTTTATATTTTTACAGAATAACACTGTTATATAATTCAATGTTGATTTAAAAAAAATAATTATTTGAGCTAATCATATTTTTAAATTTATATTAAAGAGTTATTTCCATTTTTACCGAATGCTCGAGGATTCAGAAGGAGACGAATATGAACCCATTTTAGTTATACTTTTTTTGCGAATTCGTTCAAAATTATTACCAACTTTTCCAATATCAACTAGAAATAGCACATTAAAATACACTCATTATTCGAAAAATTAAAATAATATATTTTGAAAATAGCCTATTACTGTGTAAAACTAAACTAGAAACATGTAAAAGCTCTTGAAAATAGATTTAGAGAAAAAATTAAATATGGCATGCATAACAGTCACTTTTGTGAATACTTTATTTGCAAATTGAAGTCAACAGCTTCATAAATGCTTCATAAATAAACAATAAAGTTTAAATGACATCAAGCAACCTAAATCATTTTGCATGCTGTGCATTTTGGTTAATTAGAAATTAAAATTTTTGGTTATGGCTAATCTTGAGAGACTTTACTACACAAAAATCTGTTAGCTTCTCTACCATTCATCCAATAATATTTCTTCAAATACTCCATGACAGTAATTAAAAAAATTTTACTGATTTTCACATGCAAAAATTTTGAGAATTTTTGAGCACAATTTTACTACAAAAATGAAAAGAATACTTCAAAATGATAATATTACGACTAAATTATTGAATAAATAATAATAGTAGCTTTGCTGAAGTCTAAAATTTGTCAAATATTTCTCAAAAAGGTTTGAATCTGTTCACTATATAATAGATAAGATTTAAAATGATAATAAGCTTTCATTGAAATTACTTTAATATATAGAGATATACCAAATTATTTTATTCTGAATTTTATATACAAAATCTTTACACTAATATTATGCATTTTGCATAAAAAACATTTATTAAACCATCTGTGTTAAATAAACAAATGTAATGCTCAATGAATATTTCATACATTCTATAATAAAATTAAAAGCATCGGTATTCAAGAAATAGCAGTGATTAACGTATCACAGTGTTTATGAAACTTTACAATAATTAAAAGCATAACTTAGCATAATTGACTTTGTTTTACCAATTATTTCATCTTTACTTTCATTGGCTTCAATTGTTTTTAAATTTTTACAACAAAATTTTAATTAAATCGCTATAATGATGCAATACTGTGCAACAATATCCTGACTACAACAAACAATACATTGTGATTAAATTGTTTAATCAAAGAGATGCTTTTGAAGTATATTGCATTCATTGCTTGAGAGTAACAGTATAAAATACAATAAAATACTACAAGTATTAATTTTGTTTATTTTCATATTCTTTTTTAGTCCGATGAAAAAAAGTTTTCCTCAAGTGTAATATAATTGCAACAGTGCTATAATCAGTTTATTGATATCAATTATCAATGTTTTTAATATAAGTAATTATCTGAAAAATGCTTTTTATCAGTAGTACTTCAAATTGCTAATAATTTTTTGCCATGTTTTTTTCTAAGTAATATATTTATAGGAGGCTGCATGTAGCAATATAACTTGCAAGAGAAAAGAATCCCAAAGACAAGCATACAATGGTCACCACAATTATATGCCTACGACTCAGAAACTTGTACCTTCTTCTCTTCTTCTTCTCCAGAATTCTTTTTTCTCTATTTCTCATATCGAAGGCAGTTTCCTGCTCTTGAGAGGTAGTTGTATCTGTCATATAAATAGTAGGCGACGAATTGGATGCGTAACTCACATCAATCTTCTTACTTGCTTGCTTTCCAGAATCTTTATCCTTTTCTGGGTTTACTGCACGGCTTTTACGAAAAAACTCTGATCCATTTATATTATCTGCGAGCAGTATACCAACTGTTATTAAAGCGTACAGTTTTTCACAAAACATTGCTAAATAAAAGTAATACTTGTGAAATTACTTCATTTTATAGTGTAATTTCAGAATTGTTTGCATTGAAATTTACAAAATCTGCATTTTTAATTTACAAATTCTAGCAAAATAAGAATTATAATCGAATTTTACGTCACTGCATCATGCTTTACTTCACAATTTTTGTGAAAGATTTTACCATGTAGTTTGAAAAGTCAGGCATTTTTTTTTTCAATGAGAAATGAAAGCACAGAAATATCAAAAAATATAATGCAAGTTTAAAAAATAAAAAAAATAAAGTAAAGATAATTTTCTGCAAACAATGAGTTCACAGAATAGTTTCAGAATGCACTGATAACAAATAATAACTCGCCTACATATGTTTCAAAGTTCTAAAATTAAAGTGACTTTATCTTATATTGAAAGTTTTTTATAATTATTTTTGCAGCAATCATTACCAAAAAAATCACATTATTATCGGTTCTGATATATAAAAAACATTTTTGCACTGTTTCAAACATGAACTCTGCTTCTACTAACTACTATGCTTTTGTTTGCTTATTTAAAACTTTTCTTCATTTTTGACAAGAAAAAGACAAAAATGTTCATGCTTAATTTTTGAGTGAAACAGAATAAAGTAATTCATGTAATATAGCAGTACTTGATGAAATAAGATAAAATAAATATACAATGAAATGAAGTATTAATAGTCATGATTTGTTAAGATGACTTATATGGTAAATAAATGATTTAGAAAGAAATTCTGAGTAATTATATGGCAAATATATTCTGCTAAATTATATACTTTAAAATGATACACATATGTATAAAAATTCACGAAATCCAAGAAACATTTACAAAATAAAACTGGATTGTAGACAGAATATACACAATGAAAGCAAAAATGAAAATAAAAAATAAAGAGGTTGTGTAAAAGATAAAATAACTGATAAAACTGAGCAATGATTTGGCAATCAAATAGTAAAGTGAATACAGTAAAACAGACAAAGTTCAACAAACTAAATAGGTATTTAAGGTAAATGAAAAAGAATTCATGGAAGAGTACAATGCTCCATCCATTTTTCATTGTGATGTTTTTGTTGTTGGATTTCCTGAAGAGGATCCCAAAAGCTGTACTTCCGCTAACTGCTGTTCATCCGTTAAACATTGTATAGGATTAGAATCGTCCAAACTACCTGATGCAGCCACACCTGGTTCCTTAGAATAGAATTTAGCTTAATTTCTCTCATAATTTACAAAATGTTAAATTTTATGAACAAAACTTTACTACTGATTCCTTCTTAGAATACTATTTTTTTAGTCAAAAACCTTTTATTACATGTGAAGAAATTTAAAAAATGATTAAAGATAGTTAGTTGGGATTTATAATCTTTTTTCTGAATTCTCACAAAAAATTGGCTAGTAAAGTTCTTAGATGAAATTATTTAAAACCTTTTAATAAGCTGCTCATATCACACTAAATGCTACTCATGATATAAAACATCATGATTTATAATAAATACACGTTTTATTTATTTTGCGTCAAGATAAATAAGTTTGTTGAATGGCTGAACCTCTTCGATCGATTCCGTAAGAAAATGAAGATTCTTTCCAAATGCATGAGTAAGCATAATATTCGATGGTTCCATAGCAATCGGTGCTGTTAAAAACGACCAATTTTCTGAACGCATACGAGCTTTCGCTTGCTCAATTTTACGTGATTCATGTCGCTTTGTAAATAAACAAACGCAAATACGAGAAATGACGTTGCGGAAGAGCTGCAGATAAAATTACATCTTGAGAAAACAACATCAAAAAATTTATTGGAATAATTTTTGCAAGCTTTTCTTATGTGATACTAAAATATACTTGTTTTTGCGCTAAAAATTACTTCTTCAACAGTCTGCATTTTAAAAATATTATTAGAAGTTGTTTATTTTTTTTACACTGACAAAATTTGATACACTAATAAACAATTTGAGAGACACAGAAAAGGATTTCCAAATTAAAGTAAAGTATTTATAGTTTAATACTTAAGTACTGTTCTTAATGCTAATTCGATAAAATTCAATTGAATGTAATTGAAAAAAAAAACAAAACAAAAAACAAATGTTCCCACTCTAATTTTCAAAAAACTGGATATCAAGTCTAAATTGCCGAAAAAATGAATACAGATGGCTTTGAAACTGTTCGAAAATCATTAAACAAATAAAAACAACATTTTACAGAAGAAGAATCATGAGTGACGGCCAAATTTTAAGAACAGAAATTAAGTTACTTACATAATTTTGTTTGTTTTTAAAAAATATTTTTCAATTTGTAAATTAAAACTAAACAAAAATGAGATTACACAAATCCCATCATCATACTACTTTTTTCTTCAATTTCTAAATGCATTTCACAGTGAGTACTATCTGACTGATAAATCAAACACTTAATAACAGTAGATTAATACTAGATAAGCTAGAGAGATACTCTACGAAAATTCATAGTAAACATATCAGTTTCTTTTTTTTTTCAAATTATGAAGTAAAAACAAATAAAACACTACGTGTTTAAACAAAGTTTGGGGAAAAGAAATCAATGAAAGCTAACATAATACATAATAAAAAATACATTATTTTCTTCGTGCGTAAGACCAAATAGTGTTATTTATCGTTTTATTTTTGCATCTAGAATAATTTTGTTTTTGTCATACAACCAGAAATAAGAAAGAAAACTTTAATTGACCATACCAAATACCCATAAATCTATTACGAATGAAATATTTCATAAATTATCGTCTTAAATATTCATTCAATTCACTCATATAAATATTGCGTATAAAATTCCGAATGAGCCTGTAAGTATTCATAATATTAATTACATGAATGATTAATGTTTTAATTTATAAAAAAAAAAACAAAACAAAATAAAAGCAATTAATTTTTAAATTACTAATTTCGTCCGTAAATTTGTGAAATAAAATGGAAAAAAAAAGATGAGAAAATAGAGAAAAAGAAAACTAGTAATATATTTAAATTACTAGCAGCTATTTTGAGCAAGGAGACAAATTTAATAAGTCTTCAGTACTTTTAAAAGTAATTTAACCTCCTAATTGCTCGCTGTTACTCCCTGAAGAATAACATTCCTCAACAAATAGATTGCAATTATCTCGCAACAATGGGAACATCAAAACTTTTTCACTTTGGCGATCAGTCGCCCTTAGTTCCAGTCCAAAGCTAAAAGTGTTCTAAATGTTCAATTATGCATATTTTAGCAGAATTAAAAATAAAATTTTTTAACAATAAGCAAAACATTCCTTGAGTGCTAAAAATTACTGCTACATAATTACACTAACTTATGAATTCTATGCTTTTTTTAGCTAAGGAACCCAATACTTAACGAATATTCAATTAAGCAATTTGAAAAACTGAAAAACCCTTCAAATACCAATTCTTCATACCAAACTATCAGTGGTCTTATTTCATGTTAATGTTATTAAATTTTGTACTATCCGATAATATTATTCACAATGATTTTCAATAATTAAACTTTTTAAAAATAAAAATTAGCACTGAAATGCATATCAATAAATATATGATGCAGAAATAAATTAGAACTGTATTTTATTAAATAGAATTTCTTGTAAGAAAAACTCGTCCGTGGAGAGAATATCTAGATATAATAATTCAATAGGACTGATTTTTTTCATAGATAATTTTATAAGTGATATTTTCATTTGAAAACATTTTAAGATTTGCATATTTTTTTAAATGTGACGTTGAAATGAATGTATGTAAGACATGTCAAGCATTTAGTCCGATATTTTTCATGAAGATAAAAATTAATGCAAAAGGTAACTGCATAGTCCTTTTAAATTACTAACTCTCATTATATTACATTATATTATATTCGAAAAAAGGTTAAAAAAATAAACACATGGCAGTGCAAAATTCAAAAAAAATTTCTGAAGTATTACTGATGAAGATGTGATGTTTTGCATGCAAAAAACTACCACATAAACAATATAACAAGAAAAAATATTGAGATGCTTAAAAAGGAAAAATAATTCTTAGTTTTATTTTAAAAAAGTTTAAAAAAAGAAACATGGCAAGATGATTGATACTTTTCGAAGTTGTGCCAAATAAGTTTTTAACCAAAGAAACGTACATTTTTGCAACTTAAGTTTCAGCTTTACTCATAAACAATCAATGCGAACTTTTTAAAATAGTTTTTATTAGTCAAATACATATGTGGATTCAATTGAAAAAAACTTACTATGTCTGAAAACTAATTTAAAATGAAAAATTGTGAAGATAAAACTCAACATCATAACTGAGATTCAAATATTAAAATTTAAATATTTGAAATTGCTTTAATATTTATTGAATATTATTCAATTTTTATTTCTTAGATAACGTTAATGGTGATGCAAAAAAATGAGCAAAATGATGGACAAATTTTTTAAATATCTAACTGACATCTATAATTTCCATAACTGACATTGACAATTTTCATCTTCAATAGGTCATTATTGCATTTTTGCTAACAAAAAAACGCCGAAGAAATGAAACAAGTTATTTCTGAATACTTGACACAATAATATATGAAAGTTGATATGACGAAAATGAAGCAAGCAAATCAGTAATGCATACTGTATCAAATCAAAATTCTGATATATTATTTAATCACATTTAATTATTTTTGGAACAATTTTTACAAACTTGACGACAAACGAAAACAGCTTCATTAAAACTTTTATTATTTTGACAGCCTTCTGCTTTATTTTATTATCCAATAAATTTGCTATTTATCAGAAAAATTTTTTAAATTTGGTACAATTATTAGAATTTCAGGCAGTATAAAAATTATGACATTATAGTTCATAGTTTTGAAACAAATTTTTATAAATTAAAGGTTTAATTTAAAGCTTAATGCGATCACAAAAAAGTTTTTATCAATTAAAAAACGCACATATCTCAGGTTGATTTATTTGAACATTAGAAATAGAAATTTCATTTTAAAAATTACTAAAAACCAGAAATCAAAAATTATTACATGCATTTATCAATTTTTTATGCATAATAATGATGGTAATAATAATAACCTTTATAATCATTTAATGAATTAAACGATTCGTACATATAATAAATAAACATAAATAGTATAAAGAAATTCAAAAAAATTAATCATACCTTTGGACTAGTGCAGATAAGTACGACCAACATCCATGCTAGCAGCATTAATAAGCCAAATATGAAAATTTTATCCGTTTCTCGGTCATTGTCCGTTCCTTTCATGGATTTCACTCTAATTTTAATTCTGGTGTTATCATGTCATAACCAATTATACAATTAGACAAAGAACAACGCGAAAAGATCAACTCATTTATTGATTTCACTGATCAAACATATCAATCAACAAGTCATTTGCCTCTCACTGATTAAT